GGTCATGTTGTGATGGTGTCCCGGTCATGTTTTGATGGTGTCCCGGTGGTGTTGTGACGGTGTCCCGGTCATGTTTTGATGGTGTCCCGGTCCTGTTGTGATGGTGTCCTGGTCATGTTTTGGCGGTGTGCCGGTTATGTTTTGATGGTGTCCGGGTCATGTGACGGTGTCCCGGTCATGTTGTGATGGTGTCCTGGTCATCTTGTGATGGTTTTCCCGTCATGTCATGTTGGTGTCCCGGTCACCTTGTGATGGTGTCCCGGTCATGTTGTGATTGTGTCCCAGTCATGTTGTGACGGTGTTCCAGTCATGTTGTGATGGTGTCTCGCTCATGTTGTGACGGTGTCCCGGTCATGTTTTGATGGTGTCCCGGTCGGTGTCCTGGTCATGTTTTGGCGGTGTGCCGGTTATGTTTTGATGGTATCCGGGTCATGTGACGGTGTCCCGGTCATGTTGTGATAGTGTCCCGGTCATGTTGTGATGGTGTCCCCGTCATGTCATGCTGGTGTCCCGGTCACCTTGTGATGGTGTGCTGGTTATGTTGTGATGGTGTCCCAATCATGTTGTGACGGTGTCTCGGTCATGTTTTAATGGTGCCCTGGTCATTTTGTGATGGTGTCCCGGTTATGTGATGATGGTGTCCAAGGAAGAGATGGTCGATGTGTTGAAAACAGCAGCTGTTTCCAGATTTTTCTTTTTGTCCCGGTTTGTATTTACCAGGCTACCGCCTGCAGCCGCCGACCCCCAAGGGATAGAACCTTAGCGCTAGCCTTGCTCCAGGCAGAGAGGTGGGGTGAGGCGTGACTGTCGATGTTAGCCTTAACCTTAGCCTAGCCTTAGCCTTAGACTTAGCCTTAGCCTCAGACCGCCCCCACCCCTCCGGACCCGGGTAGGAGTTCCCCAATTTTCTTCCATGGTTGCAGAATTATCTAGCATGTCCTCTTGCATTTAGGTTCCCTGATTTGCTCAAAAATTGATGAACTTATTTTAAACCTATTCGATTCTAGTGTTCCCGGCCCCGATCATTGCCCAAGAACTTAGACCCAACCCTTCACCACCAAAGCAGGTGTCGGTGCCCGGACTTGTGCTGAATCGATCGGTTTCTCCCGGCGACCCAACCCATTACCACCAAAGCAGGTACCCAAAAAGTCGACTCAGCGCCCGGACTCGTGCTGAATCGATCGGTTTCTCCCGATGACCCAACCCATCATCACCAAAGCAGGTACGCAAAAAGTCGACTTTTTGGGTACCTCCCAGATTTACCATCAGACGTCATCGCTTGCATGAACCCCGTGATGCTGAACCCTTCTCCCCATAGAGGATATGATTGCCTAAGAGTTCAGACCCATCACCACCACAGCAGGTACCCAAAA